AAACTGGTCCTTTAGTCACTCTATTATAGATGGAGTAATGTAACCAAAGTAATCTCACCCTTGGATTCTTACAGTATTTCTGATTCTGATTCCTGGTTGATGGGACAGGTGTTGTGAATGAAACGGTGCCCAGTTTGAAAGAGCTCCTGTGTGTCGCTGAATGTGAGCATTGATGACTGAAAGACATCTTCTGCAGCCCTGTGTGGACATTTTATGATATTGCTAAATGATTTAATTTTAATAAAGAACACAAACACAGACTTCCTATTAAATTTTTATTTAACCAACTTTTTTAACCATAACAAAATTGTTGTAAAGAAAAATAACTTAAGAGACCTGAGTTACGTTATTAAATACTGACAAAGAATAAACTAAAGTGACCAGAAAAGTGACCAAAATAAATGTAACAAATAGATAAATAGAATACCCTATACCATATGGGTCGTTTTAGGTTGTTTTTGGGTTGAAAATAGGAAGCTATTGCAACCCTGAATACAAACCACATGGTAGAAGAAATTAATAATCACTATCCCAGGATTTAGTGACCAAAGGGGAATAATACACAGATTGATTAGAGTAAAAACATAGAGGCACACACTATCCCACCCTCTATATCTGAAGGTTTAGAGTAAATAGTTTCCCGTACATTCAGGGTTTTATTTGTAAAAAGATACCTGGACCTCAAAAATGGAAACATACAAGCTCTGCTAATTCAGAACGAGCTTGTCACAAATATCTAGAAACAGATGCTAAGGTATTAACACGTTAGCTGCCATGTCCCGTCTGCAGGGCGTGTGCATTGTCTGCATGTTCGCAGCATCCTGCCACCATAATACGGCTCCTATGAGCCATTAGGAGGCTTTATATGGCAGGCAGGACCCTCCCCAGGGTTAAAGGTCAGCAGCTGATGTTATTTATGTTTCTTCGGGCATTATTATTATTATTATATTTTTCAATTTTTATTTTTGTGTTGATTTTGTTGTAGCCAGTTGACATCCTTAAAAAAAAAACATTTTATATGTTCGCCGATTCTGTAGATTTCCTTCTAGAAAATATGCTTTAGATACCTTTAGAATAGGGTTGGGAAATTTTTTAGTCTATTAATATTTTGTTTTTTGTTTGTTTGTTTTTTTTCTTTTTTGGTTTTTACAGCTATTTATTTATTCATTTGTGCTCACATGTGTTCAGGAAGCAGCTGGAGGAGCTGGAAGAAGCCCACATGCTGAGAGGGCAGCTCACCGCCGCGCAGCAGCTTGCCCTGCTTTCCAGCTATGAAGACTTGGCCCCGGCCCTGGAGGGAGCCTTTTTCGTGCAGGTAACTGGACGAAAAAAACACATGACTGAATCAGTTTTTACAAAAGCAACAAGGGCTGCATAGGATATGCTCCCCCATTGCTGTTTTTAGTGGATTTCTCACACTCAGATTGAAACACAGGGCAGGACATGCTGTGTTTAAACAAATTGTTGTAGTTATTCCAGGTTATTTCAACAGCAGGGCACAATTGTTCAATAACAAGTAGAACTTATTTTTGTGTTATTTTTACTTAAATTAACTACATCTGATCATAGACTGAGAACTGGGGGTTTTGGGCTCAATACTAAAATATCCCTGGTTCTCTAGTTGCCTTAATCAGACAGAAGGGGGCAGTATAACACACTTTTTTCTGCTCTTCATTAAATAAATATCACCTCATTAACCCTTTAAAATGTGTTCAAAGTTCTGTTAACAAACAGATAATTTTGAAATAAAGGTTTTTAATTGAAAGTTTGACATATTTCTTTAAATAAAATCTTTATACCAATTTCACGGATAACAGAGTGTTTGGCGACTAAAAAAAACGTGTTTTTTTTTTTTTTTTTTGCACTACTTAAAGGAGCATTCAACTGGAAATAAGCTGAGGAGTAACTCCTAATGGCTAAATAAAAACAGCAATATAAAAAATATAAAAATTCAAGCTTAAGGTAAAGCCTTATGACACTGAGAAAATAAGGTCATCCAGCTACGATTGTAGAAGAGAATCTCAGGAATATAGCAGGTTTATTTTAAGGCTACTTTTTTAATCTATTAATGATTCTTTATTTTAAACACATCATTAAAAAGACTGGATTTTAGAGTCTTAGACAGACTGGAGGACTTTTAATGCTTCTTCCTGGTTATGGAGGGGAAATGTTGTTCGTTGCTTAATTGATTTCTGTCATTTACCACAAACTCTGTGTCTTTGTTTGAAACCAGGAGTGAGTTCTAAGTAATGTAAAATCTTACAACTCAAATCATGTGAGCTACCGTACACGACAAACTTGCTTCGTATGCAACAAAGGATTAAAAATTTATTGAAAACTAAAGAGAATTAGGAAAAAATTTCCAACTTCGTTCTCTAAATAAATTTAGTTAGATAATAAATGATTTTTTAAAATAATGGCCATTACCCACAGTTATGTTTTATCACTCAGGAGGACCCTCACATTTGTCATGTTAAAGACCTAAATGAGTTTTATTGGAAATTATAAATTAAGTTTTAAAGTATTAACAATTTAAAAAGGAAGCATGGCATGCATGGGAGATAGGGTACATGAGGTGCTTTAATTAAACCCTTCATCGTCTTCCAGTCAGGTTTCCATGCTCAACACAGTACAGAGACTGTCCGCCTGTTAAGGTGATCAACAACATCCGTAAAACGCAGACTGTTGAAAAATCACAGTGCTGGTATTATTGGACCTTAGTGCACAGCTCAACACTATTGATCACTCTATTTTATCAGAGCGCCTATATCATTTTTTAAGACCACAAAATCACATGAGGCGTTCCCCAAGGGTCCATCTTAGAGTCCCTTTTATTCATTCTCTACATCCTCTCCCTCACTCAGAACATAAGTTATCATAACTATGCAGACGATGCACAGACGCCTATACCCATGTCACCAGGTCGCTATGAACTCATTAAGGTTCCATGTAAATGCAGTTTTTGGACTAAAAGAAGAGCGTTCAAACGTTAGCACACAGCTTCAGTTACCTCTGATATTCAAGTTCCAAAGTAAATCGAATGCAGGATTCAAACACGGAGCTGTGATATAAACCTGAACTGTTTAAGCTAAAGGAAAATTCAACAGTAGCCACATTTCAACCCATAGAGGGCAGCGCTAAGGAGGTTTTAATCATATTCCATTTGCAAGAAGCTCTAATGGCCCAATGTATGCAGTTTATCTGCAAAAAGGATATTCATGTTTTTCATGTTATCTGTTGTTCTTTGTTGGAAGAAAAAGCAGTAGATTTTTTTTTTAATTCTTCCCCTGAGAGATGTCTTAATAAAATTATCCATTTGATCCTTTGTCACTGCTCTGTAAACCTGTGAGTTTATATTTCCTGCAAACCTAAAATTTGTGTCAGCTTTTAAGATTCACTATAATTAATAGTGGGAGTAAATTTCAACCTTAAGATTCTCTAACAAGCTATTTGTTGTGCAACTTTATCATTGTGCCTTTTTATCTTTTTATCATTATGTAGTTTTTTTTTTCCTTTTAACAGATTTGGTTGTTTTTACTCAATTTGCTGTTGCATAAATGTTGCATTACATGTAAAAGTAATATTTTTTTAATGGTGGCATTTCTATTGTCTCAAAGTTTAACTATTAAGTCCACAACAGCTTTAAGGGACAGTAAAGTGTGTAGTATTACGTCATAGTAATACATCATATCCTGAATTTGAACCAATGTTATCTGAAATTTTGAGTATTTTGCATTAACCTTCACAAAGTTTATTTTTTTCTTTATTCTTTCAATTAAATTTTATAATGTACCTCATTAAACGGTTTTTCTAATTCTGATTCTTTATGTTGATGCATTTCAGGAGTGCGTATTCGAGCAGCTTGAAGTCAAGCAGGGCGTCTTTCAGGAAATCGAACGTTTTGTGGGTAAAGAAGTGATCCTGAGCAGCTCCACCTCCTGCCTGGTACCGAGCAGCGTCTTTTCTAAAGTACAGGAAAGAAGCCGCTGCCTTGTGTCCCATCCGGTTGGTACCAACCCAAAAATAAAACAAACTTTAGTTTAAAAGAATTCAGGAAGGGGAACAGTGCTTATTAAAATAGAGACATATGGCAGCTGATGTAAGAATCGACCCAAATATATCGGCAGTATGTATCGTGTCTGTTAGATTGATGTCTGAATAATCGGCACCGGCCTTTAAAAACATGTATCAGTCAATCTCTACTGATTTACAGCTTCATTATACGTTTGCAAGAGCTACATTTCCAAACACAATGTGAAATAGTTTAACTATATTAGTTTCAGACCATCTCATTTTGTATAACTTTTATGCATGATATTTTGACAGACTTCAGATTTCAGTCAGGTTTCTGTTCAGAGGTTTGCATAGGGTCATGTCCTGGCGTGTTGTGTGACATAATCAGCTTTCCTTTCATGTGTCCTGTTAACTGCAGGTAAACCCACCTTACTATGTAAGACTGGTCGAGCTGGTGCCCCACCCAGAGGCCAAGCCAGCCGTTATGGACGCCGCCCATTCTTTGATGACCAAGGTGCAGATTACAGGTTCAACTGTTCATGGGTGATTTAAGTCCGAACATGGATGAGTGATGCAATCACTTGTCAGTATAATGGGATATGACGTCAGGCGCCTGTGAAAACCCTACCCTGCCGGTTGGATTGATTTTTTTTGAGTTGTTGTCAGTATGACAGCAGTTAAGTCCTGATTAAGCTGCCTCCTTAAAACAAATCTCTTCAAAGAAGGACTTTATTGAGCAAGATTTTAAAGCTTAAAAAGAGGAATGAATCCAAGCAACCAGTACATCGCTGTTATGGGTGAATGCTCTTTATAGTTGGATAAAATCCATCCAGCAATTCTTAATAATGACAGCTCTGAAATGGACTATGAAATGTTTGCAAAGGTCAGCTGCTTTAAATGTCTTTAGTGTTTTATAGGTACATTTGCAAAGAATAAAGCATGTTTTTTATTGGTAATTTGCTTCCACTACTAAGACTGTTTACTATACTGACAGAGACATTGAACCCCCTGTGCACCCTCCGGAGGAGGGTACCCTCCGATGCGCGGAGGTTGGGCCAGGGCCGGTGTAGGTACCGGATCTGCTTGGGGCCCTGCCCCTTCTTCTGATGTCAACATATGCAACTCCACTTGGACAAACTGTAGTGCAACAGTTTCTTAAGAATCAAATCTCTTTTGGAGTCTCAACATATTATTACCTGTATTTGCTATTACTTTACATTTCACTGACGATCTAAAGTAGCCGAAAGTTTTCTACTTTCTACTGGGTGCGGTGTCGGTGAGCCGGTGTAGGTACCAGATCTGCTCGGGTGGTCAGACCTGCTCAAGTTCTGCTTCATGCCAGTGACGATATGCTACATGATTGGCTTAACATTGCCACATGATGTAAAACATTATGGTTGCCCAGCAACAATAATAACATCACTCTGTGTCAGTGTGCCGAGTCGGGAGCATCTGTACTGTTAGCGTTTCTAATGACCGATGAAGTTTTACCTGATCAATAAAAAACTGAAAACAATCTTTATGGTGAACAAAGTAACTGTTAGACTATGATATAAAGGGGGGAGCTGGGTAGCACTGTGGCTAGCTGTGCTCAGTAGCTAACAGGTTAGACTCTTTTAGAATGGTCATTTAGCCATACTACAGGTCGACAACAAACATATATATATATATATATATATATATATATATATATATAGCCTTTTATTGTGGGTAGTCTAAGTCACAACAATCATGGTGTCCAATCAGCATCGATATGGCATACCTGTGAGGGGGCATGGATTATCTCAGCAAAGGAGCAGTGCTTCCTATCATAGATTGGTTTGTGAACAATTTTTGAGGGAAATGGTCATATTGTGTATGTGGAAAAAGTTTTAGATCTTTGATTTCATCTCTTTTTTACATATGCTTGAGATCCGTATGCCTTTTCTTTCAGGTCGGCCAGGCACCGGTCCTTCTGAAGAAAGAGATAGATGGCTTTGCTCTCAACAGAGTTCAAGCTGCTATTATTGCTGAGTCATGGAGGCTGGTTCAGGTATGTGTCAGGGAGAGGTCTTGTTGAAGAGCCTGTTGGGTTTATTTCTTGCTGAAGTCATGTTATTATAGTACTTTTCTTTTTACTCTCGGCATAAAGTCATTGTCTTTGTTTCAATGTTCTGACTCTTGTCAGTATTGTTAGTAATGTGTCTATCTATGTTGTATGCATATTTACTATATAAGGAGAGTTATTTTCAGTATGTAATTCTAATGTGTTACATTTGTGTTTAAATGAGAAACAAAATCATTCTTTACAAGTTTTCAAAGCAAATAAAATAACATTATGAACAGATCCTGATCCATGCAGGTGGCAAACCAAGTGGGGTTAAAATGGGAGTAACACTGCAAAAAGTTTAAATATATGTAAGTAAAAAAATAAGAAAAACACAACTGCAGTTTCTTATTTCAGGTGCATAATATCTAATGATCTTATTTGAATGGTAAAAATACTTATTCCATCAGCAAATCATCTTATTTACCTACTGAAATTAGGAGATTGAATACGTTTATTTTAAGAAACTTGTACGTATTTTTAGAACATTTTTGCAGTCAATATACAATAATCTGTTTTTCCATTATGAAGTCTCACCGCAGCGTTTTGTACTAAACTAAAGGCACCTAATGGACATATCACTAAAAAAAGAGCATGTTACAGTAATCCAGTCTAAAAGCAACAATGAATGGAAACAGTTTCAGAAATCTGAAGATGCATCTATAAGTGATCTTTCTTCCCCAGAACATGTTCATGTTTGTCTCTGGGAGTCAAAGCAGGCCTTCTTCCTGAGCTGTTTATTGACATTCATGTGATGCTTTTAGTTGCATCAGGTTGTTTGCATTGATAACTGTGGGGCATTGTTGACTCAATGTAGATCTAGAAAACATGAGCTTCACTGAACAAAAAGGTCCAACATTTAACATTTTAGGCAGAGCATTAAGGCAATATCGATATGTTTCCCAATAGACACCCAATATCAGAATTAGTCTAATAGAATGCTTTATGCATCTACTGTACTCTGATCCAGAACCGCACAGCATTCTGGGGGATGTAGTCCGGAGAAAGGATTCATCATCTGAAAACTAAGTAATTTTGGCAGTAGGCTTACCTCATTAACGATTAAATTAAATCATATGATAAAACCTGATCAACATTTGCACCCTGATGGCACGCTGTCACTGACCTCAGTATGGATTTATGCTTCTTCTGATTGGATTAGTGCTGCAGCTATTGATCATTTTTTTAAATTAATCCATTAATCCAAAATTAGATACCTTTGATAAATTCCTATGATAAACAATTTTTTTTTAACCAAAAATAGAAACAGCAATACACATTTTAAACTAATTTAAGTGGAAAAAACATTAAAAAAAACTCAGTTTAATGCTAACAAAATTGCAATTATGTTTATTTATGTTTTTTAAAGAATTGAAAAACTTGAAGAGTTCTAGATAGATTTTTCATTTTAATGCAAATTAGGCAGAATTACAGGTCTGAATAGTTCATTCTTTTAGCTTTTAGCTAGCATGTTTTAAACCCTGAATACTCTAAGAATGATTTTATCCTAAATTTGTTGAAAATATTTTTATAATCGATTAATTGCGACTAATTCAATCTATTGTTTCAGCCCTACATTGTCTATATTAGAAGCACAGCTTTATTAACTTAACTTTGCTGTTTTAACTTTGCAGTAATAATTGATAACTTTCATATAAGCAAATAGTTTTGGAAATTTTATGTTAATCTTATTGGTTAAAAATGCAACAGTTTTTGGTTTTTAAAGTTTAATAATCTGCTCAAAACAAACTAACAGTTATTAAACCGATAATGTTAAAGTAAAGTTATATTAGTCAGAGTTTTCTGGGTCCATCACCTAAATAACCTGCAGTGTTTCCCTCAGTTAACCAGAGCTGGGCTCAGTGCTAGATGCCCTTGTTTTAAATAAATCTCCTAAATGCTGTTTTGCTTTTCTTTTTTTGTGTCCTAACTGCATAGGCTTTCACTTTGTTTAAAACTCATCATTCTGCATAAAGGACTGATATTAATCTGACATTTTGTTTGAGAGCAAATTTCTCAGTTAATTCCTTCCAAACTCTACATTTCATAGAAGTGATATAAAAAAAAACACAATAGCTCTTTGGGTATCTGTTCCTAGCTTTTTTTACATTTTGGGAAAAAGACTTACTGACTGATTGCTTTCTTACTTAAACTTACGTACACTTATACTTACTTAAACCTACACTTACTTATACTTAAACGTATACTTATGTAAACTTACACTTACTTACACTTACACTTTATACTTATACTTTATACTTACTTACAGATATACTGATTCTTACTTACACTTATACTTTATACTAGTACTTTATACTTACCTAGACTTATACTTACTTATACTTTATACTTACTTACACATATACTGATACTTACTTATAGTTATACTTACTTACTTACACTAACTAACACTTATAATTATACTTTATACTTACTTAAACTTATACTTTATACTTACTTATTTATACTTACTTAAACTTATACTTACTTATACTTACTTATACTTACTTACTCAGACATACTTACTTATACTTTATATTTACTTACTCACACATATATTGATACTTATAATTACTTAAACTTATACTTAGCCTACTTATACTTACACATACTCACTTATACTTACTACTTAGACTTATACTTGCTTATACTTTTTGCTTACTTACTTAATACTTAATTACCTACTTACTTATTTACTCACTTACTTTATTTATAAGTTGGGAAATTGCAGTGTAGCAGCATCTGTACACATAGTGGCAGTAGCAGCACAATAAGGTAAAATAAGAAGGAAAAAGTTACTTTAAATATCACTTATTTTGTGAAGTTAAAGGAGAAAGCCTGAAGAGAACTGTACACTGTAAAAGCTCATCTATAAATAAATAAGAGTTTTGTGTATTTACCCTTAATTTTTGCAGGTGAATAAATTATCTGCCAATGAAATACGTCTTTCTGCCCTTAAAATAAGATGATTAAATATGATAAGATATATTCCTACAAGAATACACTTAAGATAAGATGATAAGAGTTGTTTATTTCTTCTGGTAATAATCTAATATCTAATTCCATTGGCAAACTGTCTTCCTGACCTCCTCAAATAAACTTATTTCAAGAAGAGTAGACTTAATTATATTTAAATTTTTCAGTGCATGGCGGCACAATTGAATGAATGGCTGAATTAATTTTTTTTTATTTCATCATCAGTACTATTAAATTTAAAATTTTCAGCCGTAACTTAAAAACAAAAACAAAAAACGCAGTTTTTCAAAAGCAATGTCGGAAATTTGAAGAGAAAAATTGTGGAACGTTCCTGTTTGTTCCACAGAACATGCTGGTTACCACGTCAATAAGCTGTTATTAAAACACTTTTTAGCTGGTGATGCTGTATGGAAGGATGATCTGCTGGGATGGTTTGCTGTGAGACCATTAATGCAAACGTTATGCAACAGGTTTGCCTTCAATGGAAGGCAGCTTTGTTTTTTTAAATTTAGACTAAATTGATATAAAGCTGCATATATTCCTATATTTTATTGAGATCCTTTTGTGTCATATATCTAAACAAATAGAGCTTATTTGTCAGCTGGAAGTTTCTCTGAATCGGTGTTTAAGACTAATAGATTTTGTGTGTTTTACTTCATGAGGTTAGTTTGTGCAGTAAAGTTCCTAATCTTCTCACAGCTGTGGGATTTTAAAAAGTCACTGAACGAACAAGTGGATTTTTAGTTCAAGGATGAGGCAAGTAGGCATGCAGTCGGGTAAGAACACTTAATGAGTTAGTCACTGCTATTTAGAAATAACCTTTCACTTCTAAGAATTCAAGGAAATATATTTAGTTCAAGCATATTTCCTTATTGTGCAGATGAGCCTTTCTATGCTGGAGTCCTGCATCCACTGCATGATATTTGAGATTTTGCACTGAACTGTGGACATTCAGATTTAGATCTAGAGAACATTCCTTATCGCCAAAGGGCTGCTTTATTGCCGCTATTGTGGAGTAGAAGGAGCTTTGAGGCTCCTTGTGGGTCCCGGTTGGTGAAAAGGTAAGACGCTCCAGCTGGGTGAATCCCACGGTGTTATGTTCTCTATTACAACAGAATTAAAAGGAGAGCCAAGAGAAGATGCCAGAACAAGAGCACAACACCCTTTACAGTACCAGCTGCACCTCTTTTAGAACATGTTGTTTTGCATATCCTACGTAGACAGTGTGTACTTTTAATATGCAGTTTTTCCAGCAGAGCAGGGCACCTTACGTTCAGTGGAACCTAATGATTCATTTTCTGCATAATTGGATTTAATTATAGCCTTCTCTAGCGTAGCACTTCTATCTACTTAAGTTACTGACTGACGTCCACTAATACAATGCAATATTTGCAGCATACAATAAGTATTTAAATAAGTTCTCCCCCTTAGAAATCATGGAGGGGTCTGAAATTGTCATCATAGGTGCATGTCCACTGTAAGAGACATAATCTTAAAAACAAATCCAAATATTTATTTGTAGATACAGCTGCAAACAAGTGTGAACACTTGTCTATCATCAAGAATTCTGACCCTCCAAGACATGTTAGTCTGTCTTCAAAAATGTCCACCTCCACTCCATTTATTATCCTAAATTAGATGCACCTGTTTGAGGTCGATAGCTGCATAAAGACACCTGTTCACCAGATACAATCAGTAAGAATCCAGCTACTAACATGGCCAAGACCAAAGAGCTGTCCAAAGACACTAGAGACTAAAAAGTACATCTCCACAAGGCTGGAAAGGGCTATGGGGGAAATCGCCAAGCAGCTGGGTGAAAAAAGGTCCACTGTTGGAGCAATTATTAGAAAATGGAAGAAGCTAAACATGACTGTCAATTTCACTCGGACTGGGGCTCCATACAAGATCTCACCTCGTGGGGTCTCATTGATCCTAAGAAAGGTTAGAAATCAGCCCAGAACTACAAGGGA